GTGACTACGAGCTTCACTCCCTCGACTTCTCCACTGCCTTCCTTCAGGGCAGCCTTCACGAGCAGGTCTACCTGCGTCGTCCTCAGGGCTTTACTGGCACTTTCCCCCCTGGGACCCAGTGGCTTCTGCGGCGCCCAGTCTACGGCCTGCGCCAGGCGCCTCGTGAGTGGCACGACACGCTGCGTGCTACCCTTGCTGACCTGCAGTTCTTTCCGTCCTCTGCAGACCCCTCGCTCTTCGTTCGTGCTGGCCCGACTCCGTTCTACATCCTCGTCTACGTAGACGACCTGGTCTTTGCCACAGCTGAAAGGGAGGCACTGGCCTCCGTGAAGGCAGAGCTGCTGAAGAGACACACCTGCACTGACCTTGGAGAGCTGCGCCGTTACCTTGGCTTGCAGATCTCCAGGGACAGAGCCGCGCGCACCGTCACCCTGACTCAGTCACACTTGGTGCGCCAGGTCCTTAAGAGGTTCGGTCTTCAGTTCTCCTCCGCACAGCCCACCCCTCTTCCTCTGGACCACAGACTCTCCGCTCCAGTTCCTGAGGAGTCGGTAGATCCCAGTGGTCCTTACGCTGAGCTAGTGGGTTGCCTCATGTACCTGATGACTTGCACTCGCCCAGATCTCGCATACCCTCTCAGCATCCTGGCTCGTTTCGTGGCCACAGGCAGACACCGACCTCAGCACTGGTCTGCCGCTAAGAGGGTTTTGCGTTATCTTGCAAGTACATCGGGCATGGGGTTAGTGCTAGGCGGACGCGGGCCAGTGGTCCTTACTGGACACACAGACGCTTCTTGGGCAGACGACGCCGAGACGCTCAGGTCTTCCCAGGGCTACTGCTTTAGCCTTGGCTCAGGTGCTGTCTCGTGGAGAGCTACCCGCTCCTCGTCTGTTGCCCAGTCCAGCTGTAAGGCTGAGATCTACGCCGGTGTCATGGCGGCACAGGAGCTCCGCTGGCTGACCTTCCTGCTCACTGACTTAGGTGAGCGGCCTAGCTCTGCCCCGGTCCTGTACGCTGACAACAGGGCCATGATCCTCCTGTGTCAGGAGCCTCGACTCGAGGGCAGAGCGAAGCACATTCAGCTGCGGTACTTCCTCCTGCGCGAGCTACAGCAGCGTCGCCAGGCTCGCGTAGTACACTTGGCCTCCGGTGCCAACAAAGCTGATATCTTTACGAAGGCGCTTGCGCCTAAAGATCATCAGCGGCACTGTGTACAGCTTGGTCTGGTTCCTGTAGTCCCTCACTTACTCGGGCCTTGACTTTGTACTGTCCTATATATATGTGTACACTCAGACTGGACTTGTGTCCTCTCACAGTGGTTGGACTAGTAGTGCCGCCCTGTACTTGTTCTTGTCTTGTCTGTACTCCCTCTGACTGGTCTTTTAGACCCTTGTCTCAGAGGCTGGACTAGTAGTGCCGCCCTGAGATGCTTGTCTAGGATATTCCCCTATGCAGTCCAGGGGGTGTGTCAAACATGTTTATTTATCATGTTTGTATAGACCGTATAGGGTAACCTCCTAGAGGGTACAACATTTAGGTATATGTGCATGTACTCTCTCTCACTAATCAATCATTCAATTCTAGTTTTGAGAGACGCTGCCCGTCGAACTCGCAAAGGACTGTTGTGACAGAAATTAACAGTAAACATCTTTTACCGAGAAAAGCACTGTGCTGTGTTGGTGAGGCTCATGAAAAAATGAAAAAAAAAAAAAAAAAAAAAAAACTAAGAAATTAGCACAACGCATCTACTTTTACACAGGTTAGAGACGATAACTACACAATGAAGCACATGACTTAAAAATAGCAGGGATCCAGTTCCCATTTAGTGCAAAGTTTGGTTTTGAAACATAAGCAAACAAGCGGTCGCGAGAGCCATTTTTTCTTAGGCAAGAACAAGACACACAACGCAACACAACCTAGGAAACCCCTAACAGTCTAGCTAGGATCAGCCAGGGGCCTCTAGCCTAGGCGTTATTCACCTCCTTTTCCATGCACCTTGCAACCTATAGGATGGAAGTAGGAGGTGAGAATGGGAGCAGGCTGTAGGGGAGAGGGGAGGGGGGGGGGGGTTGAATGTCCAAGGCAATAAACGATCCAGAATGAAAGGGGCAGGCGGTGGATGGAGAGTGAGGGGGAAAGGGAGAACAAGAGAGTAAGAGAGAGAGAATGAGAGAGTGGAGTGGGAGAAATGGAGGAAGAGAGAGAGGGGGCGAGCGAGAGAGCGCGCGAGAGAGGGAGGGACAGAGAGGGAGGGACGATGAGGGAGCGCGGGGAGGAGGGGAGAACGGGTGCGAGGCGCGAAAGAGAGTGAGAGAGAAAGAGGGAGAGAGAGAATGGGTGTGGGGGGGGAAGAGGGGAGAGGAGTGAGCCCCAATGCCTCCCATCTATACCCCCCGTTCCCCCCCTCCCATAGCCCTACTTCCCCCTCTCCCATAGCCCTGCTTTCCCCCCTCCCATAGCCCTGCTTCTCCACCTCCCATAGCCCTGCTTACCCCCCTCCCATAGCCCTGCTTCCCCCCCTCCCATAGCCCTGCTTCCCCCCCTCCCATAGCCCTGCTTCCCCCCCTCCCATAGCCCTGCTTCCCCCCCTCCAAAAGCCCTTCTTCCCCACCTCCCATAGCCCTGCTTTCCCCCCCTCCCATAGCCCTGCTTCCCCCCCTCCCATAGCCCTGCTTTCCCCCCTCCCATAGCCCTCCTCCCGCCCCCAAAGAGAGCCCGGATCCCCCCTACCCAGGGAGAGGGCAAGGGAGACGGGAGTACGGGAGGGGAGCATGGGAGAGGGGAATACGGGAGAGGAGAGCATGGGAGAGGGAAGAACGGGAGAGGGGAGCATAGGAGAGGGGAGAACGGGAGAGGGGAGCAAGGGAGACGGGTGAATGGGAGAGGAGTGCCTAGACCCTCCTTCGTAGTCCTGGAAGCGGGAGTGGACGTACCTTAGGCTAGCGGGGCAGAGGAGGGTTAGGATGCATGGTTTGTCAAACCCCTGAAGAGCCGAGCCCTGTACTCAGGTTTGGGCATGAATACAAGGACCGCTTCAGAGAGAGGCTGGGGGGGGGGGCAGAAATAGGTAGTGAGATGAATGAGGGAATACGGGGAGTGTGAGATGGGCAGATGAGAGTGTGAGAAAGGAGGGATGGGAAGGGAAGGGAGGGAGTTCATAGATCGCGACCAGGGCTGAAAGAAAGGGAGATGGGAGGGAGAGAGGGAGAAAGCGGGCGGCGAGCCCCCTCCCCAGCTTCGAAATGCCCCCCCCCCCTCCCCCCCTCCCCAACCAGAGCCCACCTCCCCCCCCACCAGAGCCCACCTCTCCCCCACCAGAACCCACCTCACCCCCAACCAGAACCCACCTCCCCGCCCACCAGAGCCCACCTTCCCCCCCGCCAGAGCCCACCTTCGGAAGAGCTGGGGGGATAGAGGTGGGCAGAGCAAGGGTAACGAGGGAAGGGAGTTGGAGGAATTATGACGTGGAGTAGGCGTAAGAGAGGTAGCCAGTGGGAGGGGAAGAGAGGTGCGCAGAGCGGGGGAGAGTGAGGTGGGCTGCGGCGGAGAGAGAGATGGGCGGAACGCGGGAGAGAGAGAAGGGCAGTGTGAGGATAACAGGGGATATAGGGATATGGTGGGAATGTTGGGAGGGATAACAGGGGGAGGAGCGGGAGGACAAGGCAAGAGCTTGAGTGAGGGAATGGACCAATGAGCTACGCAAAGGGAAGGGCGTGGGGATAGGAAGGGAGGGATTGGCGACGGGAAGACATGGGATGGCCGACGAGGATGGGAAAGGGAGGGGGAAATGGGTGCTGGGGGGAAGCGGGGACGCGGGAAAGCGGAAAGCGGGACCGCGGGAACGCGGGCTAGCGGATTGGGCGGAAAGCGGAAAAGCAGTGGCAGCTTGAGTGCGGGAAATCGGGGAGGCGAATGCAGGCAGATGCAGTGGGCGGGGCGGAAAACAGGGAATGCGGAATTGTGGGAAAGCGGGGCAGCGCTCTCGCAGCTGCTGCGAGGAGCGGGGAGTGGGAAGCGAGGCAACGGGCGAGGTACTTGGGTGCACCGGCGAGGAATTGCCTTAGAGCTTGCTAATAAGGTCTTCGCGTGGCGCGCCCTAAAATGATAGTGTGGCATGCAGTGAAGTGGGCGATTAGGTACGAATTCAATGGTCGCATAAAGTAACGGAGATGCGGCAGGTAGCTGTCGCCCACAGGGTTACGGGAACATGTAAACGTTACTAATAAGCCGCACCTTTCCCGTGAATAACGAAATAGGAGGTAAGCGCTGTGTTAGGGAGCGAGAATGGCGGGGAAAGGGCCATGGCTACTGAGTACAGAGTAAAAAGCAAAAGCTTTGGGTCTTGGTGTGGCGGGGGGAGAGGCCTTCCTTGTTCTGTCGCTGGGTTGGTGGTGAGTCGCATAGCCAATCAGAATCTTCCCAAATCAAAATCGCACCCCTCCTGCTGGTATTTGGTTACCGTGTTTGTTTCGCGTTAGTTTTCGTGCGTCGGTGGACTCAAAACCTTTGACTCTTGAGTTTGGTCTGTACGCTCGCTTTAAATGCAATTAGTTCATGTATGAATGCTTTTTAGTAGAGAGCCTGATTAGGAATTAATAATTTTCTCTAGTTCGTTGAGCACTTGGCTCGTTGTCTTATTGAAACGAAACGACATGGCCAAGTTCACGGCCAAGCCAGAAGCAGCCACCCAATCAGGTCGCTCGCCTCATCACTGGGCTCGCCAGCACAGCTGCGTGACGTGGCGACGAAGAATGCAGGAGATGATAGCTGGTTGGTTGGGATTGTGCTGGGCTGAAGATGATAGCTCTCACGGACGATCAGGATTTATCCTGATAATCTCGAGAGCGGGAAATTATGATTAGATAAATGCAGGAGCAGAACCTATGCTGGTGCCTCGACTGTTCTTGTACCGAGTAGCTTTCGCTATGGTCACACCAGCAGTGATTCCCCTGAAACTTCAAAACCATTCCTCCGTATCATCAGCAATTCCTTTTCGCCTCCTAGAGGTGCTAGGGACATCCTTATCCTTTTTCTGACACCCTTCCCATTACCTCGTTACCCATCCAGTGTGCATGCGATGTCGCTGCATGAATGGGACGTGCGTCCTTGACGTGTTAGTCTGATTCTCGTTGACAAGAGTAGCCCAGGCTGCTGTGTGCACTCATCACCCTGATCAGGGAAACCTGTCTAAGATTTCTCGCACCGTGCTCGCGAATCTCTCTTCTAGAAGCTCGTGTGCACACGCTGCCTCTCTCAATATCCGCGGTCGCGACCGCTTCCCCGATTTCGACCGGTGTTTAGATCTCGACCGTTGAATGTACCAGCTGATCGTCCAATCCGTCGATGCTGCGGTTCGCTGAGCCAATCCTATGCGGCTGAGCGTCCTAGTCGCCACTGATAGCCGCAAATCCTAAGAACTCGCTGGTAGCCGCCAGTTTGCTTTCACATCAATAATACCTTTACCTAAACGTCGTTCTTTAGCAGGTCGTTCTGGATCCAGTCCCTAGAGTTGACATTGTTGCTGAATGACCAGCTAGGGTTTCCGGCCTTGGTGTTTCGACCCCTCGTTGCTCAAACGTCGCGGTACCTGCTATAAGAAAGGGCACCATGCAGGCCTCGCTGTCGTCCCTTCACCGGACTCCATGCGGTATGCTCACTTCCTTAGCCGATCGCCGCTCGGGGTCCCTATGTTATTTGCAAGTTTTCTTACCCCGGAAATGCATTCTTTCACATGGAATCTTGAGTTTCGAGCTTGATTTCGATCAGGCCTTTCGGGCTTTGTCGTTAATCAGGCCCTTCGGACTTATCGTTAAGTGAGTTCTTCAGTGCAAGAGCGCCGTGTTGCGATCGTGTGTGCACGCTGCGGTGCTGGTTTTCTCTTAGCGGGTTTCGCATAAGAACTCATGCAAAATCATTCTCCCGACACCTCTCCTCTCTAATCTTCTCTTCTCTGTATCAGGATGCATCGTCCCTGGACGCGTCCCCTGTGCTCGTGCACACGTCCAAGCACAGCAGTCTTCCAGCCGGCAGCCACTCGTCATGCATCAGGTATGCTTTGACTTCATAGTCCACTCAAGTGTCAACATCAGGATGCGTCGTCCCTGGACGTTGTCCCTCCGTGCATTCGTCCAAGCACGGCTGCCGGTTAGCCGGCAGCCACTCTTCATGCATCAGGCACGCTTTGATTTCAAAGTCCACTAAAATTTCAGTCAAGCAAGCTGCGTCGTTTCGAGAGTGACTACTTTTTAAAATTATTTTTGTGGAATCCAATCCTCTCGTATTTCCTGACGTCGCCTGCTTCCCGTGTTTTGTCTGTCACTTGGTTCGTGTCATGGCACTCTTGTCTCATCGCTCGTATCATTGCTCTCTTGTCCCTCAACGTTCGTGCCGCTGCACTCTCGTCTCTTCGTTCGGGTCATTCCCGACTTGCCTTTTCTTTCCCTCCCGTCCGCCACTCTCCGACATTTTCCCCCACTTCCCTTACCCGGGTCCTTTCCAGTCTGTTGGTCGTGGCGGGGCGTTCTCGCCCTCTCTTCCCACGCTTCCTAATGCTGCCTCTCCCACCGCCGCTCCTGCCAGTGCCCTTCGCACCTCCTTCCTCCACCCGTGGGGTTCGCAGGGTCTAAGGGTCCCTGGGAGGATTGAGCTAGGGAGGGGGATGGGGCTACATCCTGCCACCGGTTTGGCAGGATTGGCAGCAGGCTTCCAGGGCACAGCACTAGGAGCAGGAGCAGGCGTTGGAAGGGGTAGAGGGCTTAGGCGAGCCCGTTCTCTGGGTGTAGTTTCGGCGATTTCTGGTGCAGGTGCAACTGGGGGAGGGGGGGATGCGTCTGGGTCCACGTCACAGTGGAAAGCAGGCAAATCGAAAGCTGCCAGCTCGGCATCAGGCTCTCCCGGCAAATCGACAGGAGCAGCAAAGAAAGCGAAAGCGGCTAAGAAACGGTCCCAGGCCACGTCAGCAGCGGCTGACGCGGATAAGGAATGGGATCCAGTTACCGAGTTACTGGAGCGGGTGCCGAACCGTGTGGAGCCGCAGGTTCGGGTGAACGGGCAGCTGATGTCGCTCAAGGAGGCGGAGGCTCGGGCCGTACCTGCGCCAATCCGAGCCTTGAACGCACTAGAGCAGGGGGTCGAGAGCGCTAGGGAGGCTGTCTTGGGGAAAGTGGCAGAGGCTCTAGGAGGGGTGGATAAGGGTGTGATTATAGAGGAAGGGAGTGAAACGGGGAGTCTGGCAGCAGAGGGAAGGGGAGGGAAACAAGCTTCGGATACAGTAGATTCGGCAGATGCAGCGTCGATGTCCACTGGAGCTGTCTCGTCTGCTGCTGCTGCTGCACCTGCTGCACCCCCTGCCAACCCCGTGTATCTTAAAGACCTACTCCGCGAGTTCAAGGGCGAGCTCGTGGTCCCCGAGGAGGCGTTCGCTCCGCGGGTGGTGGAAACCACCGCGTTTGAGCGCGCGCTGGCGGGCGCCCCGCCCATGAGCGCGGCGGAGTTTCTGGGTTTTGCGGAGAAGAAGCAGGTGGCGCTGGTGACATCGCGCGGGCTGAAGAGGCGCGATGGGAGGTTCGAGTACTGGGATGTGCTGGTGGAACTCAAGGAGGTGCCTGGGGAACCGGCCCTCCAAACCAACACCTGGTGAGTGCGGGGTTCTCAGGTGCTGTGGATATTAAATGAAGAGGCGCGATGAGAGGTTCGAGTACTGGGACGTGCTGGTCCAGCTGAAGGAGGTGCCTGGGGAACCCGCCCTCCAAACCAACACCTGGTGAGTGCAGTGTTCGTGAGTGTGGGGTTTACATAGAGGGGAGTGAAGAGGAGGAGAAGCAGGTGGCTTTGGTGACGTCGCGCGGGCTGAAGAGGCGCGATGGGAGGTTCGAGTACTGGGATAGTCTACCCTCCGCAATAGGGGCGAGGCGGGGACACCCTGCAACGCTACAACCAAAGGTGTACGAGTTATTATGACCAACCCACGTGAGTTGCGAACTCAATTCGGCACCTTTGCACGGAATGTTGGAAGGGTCTTGCAGGAACGGAGTTCCTCCTGGGATCACTAAAAGCCAAAAAAAAAAAAAAAAAAAAAAAAAAACGATTACTGGGATGTGCTGGTGGAACTCAAGGAGGTGCCTGGGGAACCTGCTCTCCAAACCAACAACTGGTGAGTGTGGGGCTCACTGGGTTCGAGCACTGGTGTCCACTGGGTGGGTTGAACAATGAGCTGAAGAGGCGTGACGGGAGGTTCGAGTACACTGGGACGTGCTTGTGCAGCTGAAGCAGGTGCCTGGGGAACCTGCTCTGCACACCAATGCCTGGTGAGTGGTGGGGTGGGGTGGGGTGGGGTGGGGATGCGCTGGGGTTTACTGGTTTGGTGGGTGCTGTGGGCTTGCACCCATCGAGCCCTCTCTTCCTCACTGGCCCCTGCAGGAAGCTGAGGGGGGACTCTCAGCCCCTGTCTGCAGTGCTGGCAGGCAGCGCTCTACTGGTGCTTTGCTCCCCCCTCAGATGCGCTCTACTGCCATTGGTGCTTTGTAATCCCCCTAAGATGCGCCACCTTCTCCATCCCCCCCTCTCCCCAACCTCTCCCCCCTCCCCTCCCCACCCACCCCCTTGTCCTCCTTCCCTGTGCTCCGTTATTCGTCGTTTCCCCCCTGTAGGAGGCTCAAGGTGGACTCGCAGTCCGTACCAGCAGTGCTGGCGGCTTACAAGGGGCCACAGAAGGAGGTTGAGACTGTGTATTCGGTAAGAGCTCTCCCATGTACCCACTATAATGAACGTTAAAGCGAGTTCCGCCGATGCTGGTATCATGAACTGTTGCGCAGTCAGTGCCAGCAGTGCTGCTGGCAGCCTATAAGGGGCCGCAGAAGGAGGTTGAGACTGTGTACTCGGTAAGAGCTCTTCCAGGTATTTCGTTTAAGTGAACCTTAGAAAGCATCTCGTGTAATGGGGTGGCGTGAGCGCTTGTGTGAGCTGATTGCAAAATTCAGCATGCTAGGCATGAAAAGCCAGCATGGGCGAGTACTGCGCGCTGGCATAACAAAACAAAAGTTGAAAATAAATTTGCATTCCCCTGTTCCCTCCCACTCCCCCCCCCCCCTCCTTCCTCCCCTTCCACCCACCCCTCCTCCTCCCCCGGTCCCCCCTCTCACTTCCTGCCCCTCTTCCCATTTTTCAAACAGACCTTTGTCGAGGTGCCATCAGCCAAGCCCCTTCCAGCAGCCTCCACCATTTCCGGGCGAATCTTCCTGGAATGCTCCATCCTAGCGTCGATTCTGCAGTCCTTCCTTGCCACTCTTATCGCCTCTTCCACTGCCGCCCTCCTCCTGGCCTCCTCTGCCGTACTCTTTATAGTCCGATCCGTTTTGTGGCCCCTGGCGAAGCCTCTCCTAGCGCCTGCTGTGTGGGTTGTAGCGGCTGTAGCGAATAAGATTGCTGGTGTTGTCACTGCCACGTGGGCGAGTCTCTTTGCTCCAGGTAGCAGCAGTCTATTCGGATTCCTACAGTTGCAGCTGGCAGCTTTGTTTGGCAGCGGGGGACTAGCGGGAGGTATTGCTGGCGCTACTGCGAACGCGTCCGGGGATGCGATTGCTGACGTGGCGGTTGACGTGGCGCGGGATATTTTCATAGGAAAGCTGAAGAGCTCGGCCAAGGCGGTTGGGATGATGGTGTTTGTGGTGCTGTTTATGGCAGCAGGGGCTAAATTCACCCTCAACAGACGGACCAGAGACTACACTAAGTGGGTACGTGATGGGGGGGAGGGGAAAGGGGGGGGAGGGGAGCGGAGGGGAGAGGGAGAGGGAGACGGGATAGCAGGGAGTTGGAAGTGGTAAAGAGCGGTGGGAATAATGGTGTTTGTGGGTGCTGTTCATGGCAGCAGGGGCTAACTTCACCCTCAACAGACGGACCAGAGACTACACTAAGTGTGTGGGTGCCGTTTGTTGCAGCGGAGGAGCATACAGGGGGGAGGGAGAGGAGCCCAAGTTTCTAGTGGTCTTTCACTGTCGTTTCTCCCATCTCTTCAAGCCTTCCGAAACGCGCTTTCCCGATTAACACTCCACACAATACCCCGAACTCCAAGCTCGTTATCCTGTGTTCGGATTTCTCAAAGTTTTTTTACCTCTTAACCTTGAACCTTAAACCCTGAACTCAGGACATCTGGCAAGCCATTGAGTTCGGCCAGTCTAAGCCCCAGGCTCGAGTGGAGGTGAGCTCTTCAGGGTGCTGCGTTGCTGTGCGGTGCTGTGCTGTGCGGTGAGATGCGGTGCGGTGCTGTGCTGTGCTGTGCTGCTGCCTTGTGGTGTCGCCGCTCTAGTGCTGCTACCTTCCCTGTGCACTGACATCACATGCTCCTTTTCTGCTGTTAGATCCACCGCATCTTCTGCTGGATATACCAAATCTCTGATTTTTGAGGCGCCTAAAAAAAAAAAACTGTGCACTGACATCACATGCTCCTTTTCTGCTGTTAGATCTACCGCATCTTCTGCTGGATATACCAAATCTCTCTGTGTCATCCCTTAAGTCACTGCTGTTGGTGTAGGCGCCCTCATCTAAAAATACCTCATCTTCTCTTCTTCGCTCGCCCCTCACAGGGATCTACAGGAGTGAAATTCGAGGACGTGGCAGGCATCGATGAGACAGTGCAGGAGCTGCAGGAGGTGGGTGTGTCTCACATTTTTAATGCACATATATATGTATGTAACTATATACAGCACGTACACCATGTACACTATAATCGTCATCGATAAGTCCGTTCGTGGTTGGTGGGCATTGATGAGACTGCATGGGTTGCTGGAGGTGCGTGGGATCTTCATCCAAAGTACATTATATTCTCTACATCTGCCAATACACTACGTACGCCATATAAACCCTGCTCATTTATGAAGCTGTTTATGTAGGATGTGGTAGGTATGGAGAGAAGTTAGCACAAAGCCGTACTCCTCAAGCGGTCCGTCCTGGCCCTACTCCTCTCCCTCTCCTTCACCGTCTCCTCCCCTCTCCCACATCCCGAGGTGTTTTTCGAGTCGATCAAACAAATCATTTACAGTCGTTAGCACAAGGCCCTACTCCCCTCAAGCGGCCCATCCTGGCCCCACCCCCTCGCCCCTTCACCATCTCCTCCCCTCTCCCACTTCCCTTCCTTCATTTTTGCCCCATTTTCCTCCACAATTCCACCATTCAGCTAGTGGAATACCTCAAGGAACCCCAGTGCTTCAACCTTATGGGCGCCAAGCCGCCCTCTCTCTCTTCATCACCCTCTCTCTCCTCCCCCATCTCCCCCCCCCCTCCCCCCCCCCTTCCTCATATAACCCCACAGCTAGTGGAATACCTCAAAGGACCCCCAGCGGGTCAACCTTATGGGCACCGAACCGCCCTCTTTCTCTTTTCATCACCCTCTCCCCCCCCTCCCCCCCCCCCCTTGCATATAATCCTTCAGCTAGTGGAGTACCTCAAGGACCCCCAGCGGTTCAACCTCATGGGCACCAAGCCGCCGCACGGGGTGCTGCTGGAGGGTCCCCCAGGATGTGGCAAGGTGAGGTGATGGTGTGGCAAGGTGAGGTATGGTGTGGCAAGGTGAGGTGATGGTGTGGCAAGGTGAGGTATGGTGTGGCAAGGTGAGTTGATGGTGTGGCAAGGTGAGGTGATGGTGTGGCAAGGTGAGGTGATGGTGTGGCAAGGTGAGGTGATGGTGTGGCAAGGTGAGGTGATGGTGTGGCAAGGTGAGGTATGTTGTGGCAAGGTGAGGTGATGGTGTGGCAAGGGTTCACCTGAGCATTACACTCTCTAACTCGCGGATGTGCATGTTTTCCCCACACGCACGCTAACCCATTGCACGCACGGTGTGCTGCTGGAGGGCCGCCTGGGTGTGGCAAGATGAGCCCTTCTGTTGTGCTTTGTATTGCGTCCACCCTGCTCTGTTCTTGTCCAGCCGATGTTAATATCACCAGCACAGCACGCCTCCTTTCCTTTCCCCTCTCTGCACATCACACCTTACTGGCTTTGAGACGTTCAAAACTGGCCATAGCTGCGGAATCATGCATGCTTTTCTACCAGATGACTGCCTTTGAGTTTGCCTCTTTCCCTCCATTATCCATCCTGTTCCATAGCACTCGATCCCCCCCCCCGCCCCCCTTCCATCAGACATAACTAGCCAAAGCCGTAGCAGGCGAAGCAGGCTTGCCCTTCTACCAAATGGCCAGCTCTGATTTTGCCTTACCTTTTGCCCCTGGCGCTTTTGTCTCCCCCCCTACCAGACACTCCTGGCTAAGGCCATAGCAGGCGAGGCAGGCGTGCCCTTCTACCAGATGGCAGGCTCTGAGTTTGCTGAAGTGCTGGTGGGAGTTGGGGCTGCTCGCGTGCGCGACCTCTTCAAGCGAGCCAAGGTGCGGTCTAGGGCTTGTGTTTGGGGTACCCCCTGAAACCCTTGGGACCAGGGGTGCTTCCAGGTACTTGGTTTCTTTCAGCCGTTTTATGACTGAAGAAGTACCTGAGGTGAGGGGCTTTCCTTCCACGTGAAAAACGCTCCCAGCCTATTTCCTTCCGTGTTGAACTGATCGATGTGCGAGGCAATGTCTTGTCGTCGTGCTTATGGCCCATGCCCTAACCCCCTTCCGCAGGTCAACAAGCCGGCTGTGGTCTTCATAGATGAGATTGATGCCCTTGCTGCTGTGTGCATGCCTTCAACCCTAAGTTGCACTAAACGCTCAGAATTCGCAGCATATAGTGTATATACGCTATACGCCATACGAGCGTATAAACGCTATACGCCATACGAGCGTATAAACGCTATACGTTCGGCTGAAATTTCGGGGGCAGCCCGTCGGAAAAAAAAATTTGATTGCCACATCGCGATGTGGCGAAGCCAGCCACACTATCGCGAAGTGTCGAGACCCCAATTTTTTGCCCAAATCCAACTTCCAACCAATCTGCCCCCCCAACCGCACTGCATCCCGAGGCATCTACCAAACCCAACCAAACGTCAAATGTGCTCTGTCTACCTCTACCACTGAATGCGCTAAACCTAAAACAGATTGCGCAGCGTAACTTACCAGCCGAATCAGGCGGCAGACTAAGCTAGAATCTTAGCTTAGGGAGCGCCACGTCGCCCCGTTTTTTAGGCAGCGCCATGTCAACATGGATAAAACCTTGACATGGCGGTTATTTATGCCTTAAAGGCTGAACTATGTTCTCTGGTTCATGCTGCTATGAAAAACTATGGCCCGCACCACATTCTCCCTCCCCCCCCTCCCTATACACGGTTTTTTTTCCTGCCCGGACAAGCGTATGCCTAGCGTATACGTGGCCCCCAAAAAGCGTATAGCGTGTATACGCTAGCGTATGTACGCGCGCGTATCAAACGCCATACGCGTTTAGTGCAACTTAGCTTCAACCCCGATCTCCTAAACCCTGTGCCTTGCACTCCCTCCCTTGCCACCCCCTGCCGCAGGTCAACAAGCCTGCAGTGGTGTTCATCAAGGATATCGATGCCCTTGGTGCCGTGTGCATATCTTTCACCCCTATCTCTTAAACCCTGTTCCTTAAACCCTGTGCCTTTCACTCCCTCTTCCCCCCCCCTCCTACCGCACCGCAGGTCAACAAGCCGGCTGTGGTCTTCATCGATGAAATCGATGCCCTTGGTGCTGCGTAAGTCGCTCCTGTTCCCCCTCTCTCCCCCCACCCCACCCCACCCCACCCTACCCCACCACACCCCACACCACCCCTCCGCACCCTTCCTTTCCTTCCCTGTGTGAGTCCGTTCCGTTCCCCTCCTCCCTGGTGGAAGGAAAGATTCGAATTTCTCCTTCTCCTTCTCCTCCTCCTTCCCCCCCCGCTGCTCTCCTAGTCGCCCTTCCCGCCTTTCTCCATCACTCAATTCCTTCTTTGCATGTGACTCATTGTCCTAGAGATGGGACATTCCTTGCATAATTTCAGCCGCCTTTGATCCGCCGCACAATGCTTGCTTATTTCCGCTCTTCCCTTCTGTGTCTCTCTCCCTCTTTCCTTCCTTCACCATTCTTCCCTCCTTCCCTCAGCCGTTCAATAGAACACCAAATAGGATTTCTCCTGCCCTCAGCCGTGCTTCATGCCTATGCAGGAGGGGACGAGGGGGCCCATGCTGGCGTGACGGAGCGAGAGACAACAGCTGTGAACAGAGCGAGAGACAACAGCTGTGAACGGAGCGAGAGACAACAGCTGTGAACAGAGCGAGAGACAACAGCTGTGAACGGAGCGAGAGACAACAGCTGTGAACAGAGCGAGAGACAACAGCTGTGAACGGAGCGAGAGACAACAGCTGTGAACGGCCCAGCCAGCTGTTGATGAAGTTGGAAGGGTTCGATGTGGGCCAGGGCCAGGGCGTGGTGTTCATATCGCGCTCCTCCCCCCTACCTTCTCACTCCCCCCCTCCTTCTTTCAGCCGATCCTCCGCAGGAGGGGACGAGGGAGCAGACGCAGGTGTTACGGAGCGAGAGACAACCCTCAATCAGCTGCTGATCGAGCTCGACGGGTTCGATACAGGCCAGGGCGTGGTGTTCATCGGGGCAACCAACCGCATGGACATGCTGGATGCTGCCCTGCTGAGGCCGGGGCGATTCGACAGAAAGGTAGGGGTTGTGCTCGGAGCAAGCAGTAAGGGAGGAGGGGTGGTAGGCCTGGGTGCGGGAGACAGGAGGTGGGGTGTGCATGCGGGTGTGGAGAGGCGTGGACCAGGGCGTAGTGTTTATCGGAGCCACCAACCGCATGGGCATGCGGGCGGGACACTGCTCTGCTGAGCCTGAGCATGTGGGTGTGGAGTGGCGTAGTGCAGGCAGTGCCAGTGCACTAGGGCGTAGGACCAGGGCGTAGTGCAGGCAGTGCCAGTGCACTAGGGCGTAGGACCAGGGCGTAGTGCAGGCAGTGGCGGGAGGGGGCCAGGACATGCTGGATGCTGCACTCCTGATCCTGAGTCCAGTGCCCCCCGGGATCCAAGGCCAAGCATGTGGGACGAGCGGAAGGCAGTGGCGGGAGGGGACCAGGACATGCTGGATGCTGCACTCCTGATCCTGAGTCCAGTGCCCCCCGGGATCCAAGGCCAAGTATGTGGGACGAGCGGAAGTGCCAAGGGTGCACGCGAAGAAGGTCAAGACGATTGTTTCTATGTGCCTAACGAGCCACTTTCTTCTACCAATGCCATTGTCCCAATGCCAAACAGATAACCATCGTGCCCCTTGGGTCCAAGGGCAGAGCAGAAGTGCTGCGGGTGCTGCGGGGTCAACGCCAAGAAGGATGATGGTTTCTGTTTGGTCAACGAGCTGCTTTCTTCGTCCCATGCCATTGGCCCAATGCCATACATATCTGAGGGCAGAGCGGAAGGTGCTGAGGGCGCATGCGAAGAAGGCGAAAATGATGGTTTCTGTGCGCCTAACGAGCCACTTTCTTCTTCCCATGCCATTGGCCCAATGCCAAACAGATAACCTTCGTGCCTCCTGGGTCCAAGGGCAGGGCAGAAGTGCTGTGGGTGCACGCCAAGAAGGTCAAGATGAGCCCGCATGTGGACCGTCTAAGTCTAACTACCACCATTCCCCCGTGTTTTCTGGCCCGATGTGAAACAGATCACCATCGTGCCTCCTGGGTCCAAGGGCAGAGCAGAAGTGCTGCGGGTGCACGCCAAGAAGGTCAAGATGAGCCCGCACGTGGACCTCGATACCATCGCCGCCAATCTTGCAGGTAAGCCCAAACTCAAAGAAGGTAATTCACCCTTCAACCCAGAAACCCTCACCCTCCAAGGTCAAGATGAGCCCTCATGTGGACCTCGATACATGGCCGCCAATCTTGCAGGTAAGCCCAAACTCGCTTCTCCATGTGACTTATGCCAAGGAGCAGTCACCAAACAGGCTGACGACGCTCAGACTCCCAGGGACGGGTGGGGGGTGGAGCAGGGGAGGCAGGGGAGGCAGGGGAGGCAGGGAAGCAGGGGAAGCAGGGGAAGCAGCCACTGCTGGTGCGGCGGATGGCAGACGGATGTTCTCTTAACCCTCAATCCTTTCCTAACCCCGTTTTTAACCACTTTCCTAACCCGGTTTTGACCCCTTTCCTTTTCAGGCTGGAGCGGGGGGCACATCTTGCCAACCTACTCCAAGAGGCAGCCCTGGTGGCAGTGAGGCGGGGAGCAACAGAGATAGAGGACGAAGACCTGTACACAGCAGCAGACAGGCTGACCCTTGGTACTCCCAGCAGGGGACGGAGAGGTGGGGGGCGGAGCAGGGGACGCACCACACACATACTGATGTTTCCTTTGACCCCTCTCCTTACGCCCCTATTTTCCAGGCTGGAGCGGGGCACAGCTTGCCAACCTACTCCAAGAGGCTGCACTGGTGGCTGTGCGGAGAGGGGCGACGGAGATCGAAGACGAAGACCTGTACACAGCAGCAGACAGGCTGACCCTGGGCACTCCCAGGGAGAGGTGGGGCGCGGAGCAGGGCAAGCAGCCGCTGCTGGTGCGGCGCATGGCGGTGCATGAGGTGGGGCTGGCGCTCACGGCGCTGCTGCTGATGGAGTATGACGAGGCCCAGGTGGAGCCGCCACAGCGACTCTCCATTGTTCCCCGAGGCGAGGTGAGTGTCTCAGGGTTTTGAGTATCAGGGGGTCTAGGGTTTGAGTTTGGGGGGTGGGGAGTGGCGGTGCATGAGATGGGGCTGGCGCTCACGGCGCTGCTGCTGATGGAGTATGACGAGGCCCAGGTGGAACCGCCGCAGCGACCCTTTATTGTGAGGAATGGGAGGTGAGAAACAGAACTCAGGGTTGCTTGTACTGGTTTTGACATTCAGTTTGGGGTTTGTGAGGGAATCACATGGTAGAGTGTGCTGCGTATTCTCCCTCCCCTGGATCAGCTACCCCCATGCATAAGGAGTCTATTTTTGAGGCTCCTCGAAAGGGAAAGACACATGGTAGAATGTGCATTATACTCTCCCCTGCATTCCCCCCATGCTATCCCCCTGCTATGCTCCCTTCCCGCCTCCAGACCCCCTCATGGACCGTGTTCAACCGCATTGACGAAGAGACTTATAGCTTCACTCTCTCCCTTCTCCCTCTCCCTACACATTGCCCCCTCCAGACCCCTTCTTGGACCGTATTCAACCGTATTGATGATGAGTCATACCTCTTTGAGAAGAGGCGAACTCTGCTGCACCGGCTGCAGGTACTGCTGTGTTAGGATTAAGGACAGAGTCTAGGTGAACTTAGGAGCTAGAATTACTCAAAATATAAATCCGAAATTCTGGACAGAAAAGTCGTCTTTACAAGAAACGACGTCGACAAAACACTAGCCGTTGGAATGTCGCGAAACTTGGATATGTTGTAGCTCTTGATCTCAGCTACCGTTCCCAATTTGAATCACGTTGATTGATGAAGTATTCGCGACGCTATGGCTTTCGACGCACTAGGGGGTAAGCTGTAGGAGGAGAACTTAACTCAATCTCAAGAGTTCAATAATCTCACAAGGAATTTAGAGGAGCAAGAGAAAGGTTGGGATAGAAAGAGAGGGACGAGAGGGAAGGTCCCAAGAGAGTCCCCAACCAAGGAAACCCCATAAGCACAAAGATTCCCTCCCTATAGGAACCTCAACTTTGACCTTTGTCCCTTCCCAACCAATCCATCCAAGTTGGCCACCCTTGCCAACCTAGCTTGGTTGTTCCCAACCAATTTGCAGCTGTTACAGTAGAGTGACAAATTTCCCCAACCCCAAAGGTCCCAACTCCATATAGAGTCACCCCACAACTTCACTTTGTAACCGCCGCAATTGTAACGCAAGCTCATGAACTTTGAATCTTCATAGCTTTCGCGTTCTTGCTCCGATTGAAGCGATTCTTGTTGCGTCGGAAAGATCTTCTCAAGATCTATCATCAAAATACCTGCTCAAACAAAAATAACACAGAACACATTCCCAAACTCCAGAACACACCACACACAAATTCTTTCACATTCAAACCACACATGCAAGTTGAAAACATGGGATGGGAGGCAGACAGAATGTGATAGCATATGATGACATCACACAACAATCTCCCCCTCTGGCTGCCAACCATCATCGACCATACCACATCTCAAGCATGCATACTCAATGCACACTCATCCCAGCAAGCTTCATGCCCTTCCAATGATCCGCCTCCGCCAGACGCTTAGTGAAAATATCTGCTGCCTGCTGATGGGTCTTCACTATCTCCAGCCGCACCTCCTTATCAAGGATTCTCCTCACCCAATGCCACTTAGGCCTTATGTGTTTTATCAGCCCATGCAGACAAGCATTCTTGGCGAGCTTCACAGCGGACTCATTGTCACAAAACACAACTGTCGGCTTCTCCTGACCAACTCCCAACTCCTCCAACAAACGCCTTAGCCACACTACTTCCTTGGCCCCATGGTGTAAGGCCATGTACTCAGTCTCACATGAAGACAATCCCACCTCATTCTGCTTCTTGCTGCGCCAGCTCACAGCACCACCTCCCAGCAAGCACACATAACCCCCAATGCTGGTGCCATCCGCTTTCACTGAGTTGAAGCTAGCGTCAGTATAGCAACTCAAGAGCATCTCACCACTCTTCACATCTGCAGCACCTCTCTGCAACCGCTGCCTCACTCCACTGTACTCCAATCCCACTGATGCCGTAGCACTCACATAGCGGACCAACCTCTTGGCCGCTTCCAGCTGCTCATGACTAGGGCGTGAGACCACACTAGCCAACCGTGATGTAGAAAATGCAATGTCAGGCCGTGTATGATTTGCAGCATAATTCAGCGACCCAACCATCGAATGAAACAGCTTCCTGTCACTCTCACCCACTACCTCCTCATCAGCACATGGCTCCACAGTAAACCCTGAAGGTAGTGGTGTTGCTGGCTTTCCCCCATCTTGCAGCCCATACTTCTCAGCCAGCCCCTCACAGTACTTCCTCTGGTGCAACCTCAGCACACCCTTTTCCACATCTCTCTCCACATGCATCCCCAAGTAGTACTTCACCTCACCCATCTTGGAGCACTTGAACTGCATCTCCAGCATCTGCTCTGCGCTGTCCAGCAAAGCAGTTGATGCAGAAAAGAGAAGGATATCATCCACATACACCAAGAGCATGAGGATTTCGTCCTTCTCCTGCAGCAGGAACAGGCTGGGGTCACACTCACTCTTCTTGAAACCCCCAGCCAGCAGCGCCTCCTCCAACTTGTGATACCATGCACGAGGCGCCTGCTTAAGGCCATAGATGGCCTTCTTCAGCCTGCAGACCCTGCCGCTCCCATCATCCAGCCCCTCTGGCTGCTTCATATACACCTCCTCCAGAATGATCCCATTCAGAAAGGCAGTCACAATGTCCATCTGCCGTATCTTCCATCCCAGGAGTGCAGCTATCGCCAACAGCACCCTCAGTGTTGTTCCTTTCCCCACAGGAGCAAACACCTCATCATAGTCCTTCCCTTTTGTCTGCTGAAACCCCCTTGCCACAAGCCTAGACTTGTATCGGGTCAGCTCCCCTTCAGGTCCATACTTGTGCCTGTAGATCATCTTGGAAGTGATTGCCTTCTTTCCAGGAGGCAAGTCACACAGGTCCCATGTCTCGTTCTCAATTAGGGACCCGAACTCCTCATCCTCACTCGCCTTCCACTTCTCCCCATTTGGTCCATTCAAGGCCTCTTCTCGAGTCTTGGGCTCAGGGATTGGTGCCCAGTAGCAGTGAGCGATCTCATCTTCCTCAATCTGCTCAACCACACTCCCAGCCTGCACCACATTTGGCTTGCCTCTTCCCCCATAGGTCAGCCTCACTGGAGGGCGCACATCCCTCCTAGGACGCTCAGGCGGGTGTGGAACTCGAGGTGGAGACTCATGCTGCTGCTGCTGCTGCTCTACTTCAGCTGCTCCCCCTTCCTCAGTCACCCCAGACATCTCCTCCTCTGACACTGCAACCTCTACCTGTCTTGAAGGCCGCTGCACCTCATCCGCCTCCACAATGAGCGGTGTAGATGGAAGCTTCTGTTGCTGCTGCTTCCATTCCTTGTAGTACAGGGACTCAAGAAACTTCACATCCCTTGACACTGTCAACTTCTGGGTGGTCAAGTCCCATAGCAGCCACCCCTTGTGATCCTTTGCAATCCCCAAGTGCACACCCCATCTTCCAGAAGCCTCCAACTTCCCCCTTTTCTCCTTAGGCACATGAAACACCACCATGCACCCAAATGCCCTCAGCATGTTCACAGCTGGAGCACTCCCATACCACTTGACGTATGGGATCCACTCCTTATCTCCAACTGTAGCCAGCACCCTGTTCTTCACAAGGGCGACCTGCCTCAGTGCAGACACCCAAAACGGATCAGGCAGCCCTGCACGCCCAAGGAGAGTGCGTGCCCCCTCCTGCAGGGTCCTGTTGAACCTCTCAGCCACGCCATTCTGCTGTGGGTTGTAGGGCACTGTCAGTTGATGCTGGATCCCCTTCCTCTTCAACTCCCCCTCAAAATCAGCTCCAATGAACTCCCCACCATTGTCACTACGGATCACCTTCACCTTGTGTCCGCATTCCCTCTGAGCTCTCGGCATCCACTCCTTAAGGACAGCCGCTGCCACCTCCCCCTTGCTGTTCAAAGGGTAAACCCACACTGCTCGAGTGTGGTCATCCACAATTGTCAAGAAATAGCGGCTGCCTGAGAGGGAAGGGGCTCTTGTGGGCCCCACCACATCCATGTGCACAAGTGCAAGTGGGGTCTTGGCTGGTCCTGTAGTGCTGTTGAAGGGGAACTTGGAGAACTTGGTCTCCAAGCATGTAGGGCAGCTCCCAATCTCCTTCACTCCCCCTTTCACCTCCAAGCCTTTCAGGCTCCCATCCTTTACCAACTTCTGTAGCATAGGGAAGTTCACATGACACAGCCTCTCATGCCATGTCTCCCAATCGGCCTCTCCACTCTTTGATGAAGCCTTAGCCCATGCCGCACTCGCATCCACACCAGCAAGCACCTCACCATGTCTCTGCTGCTGCTGCACTTTCTTGACTGCTTCCAGGACCCCATCAGTTGGTGCAGTTGCATCTCCTCCTGCTGTTGCCTTTGCCGCTGCTGCCGTTGCTGCTGTTGGAGTCTTCCCATTCCATGGGATGATGGGCAGCTGCCACAGGTCCTTGATGCAACTGGTCTCCTCTTCCAGACTCCATAGCACCTTCTTCCCAAGCTTAGCACGGCAGCTGGTTGGTCCAAAGGTCACTTCGGCCTTGCTCTTCTGCAGTCGTCGCACAGAGAGAAGGTTAGCAGACAAGCCTTTAACCAGCAGAACATTCCCAAGCCCCACAAGCTCCCCATTAGCTCCCTTAACCTTGGCATTTCCAACACCAATGACAGGGAGCAAAGCACCTGACGCTGCTGCCACATACTTGATCTTCCCAGGGGGTTTTACCTCATCAAGCAAATCTGCCCGTGGAGTCATGTGACTGGTGCAACCCGAATCAATCACCCAGTGCGTGAGAGGGTGCATCACAACCTTTCCCACAGATCCCACATCACCCTCATGCCCATGCACATCCTCAACCATAACAAACAAACCAGGATAGGCATTACCTTGTGCACCTTCACCTTGTGCACCTGAGCCTTGCACAGCGCCACCTTGTGCGCGTTCACCACTGGGCGGCTTCATGCCTGGAGGTGCCCATCCCTCCAGCCTGCTGAAGCACTTGAACCAAGGATGCCCAACCTTCTTGCAGTACCAGCACGTGCCCTCCATTCTGGTACTCCCCCTGCCACTAGAGCTCCCATGCCCCTCATTATAGTCACCTCGGCCTCTACCTCTGCCAAAGCTCCTCCCACGGCCTCGGCCTTTCCAACCCCCTCTTCCTCTGCTGCGCCCTGCAGCTCCATACCCCTCAGCAGTCTTAGTGGCAGCACCGCCTCCCACATGGCGTCTGCGGAAGTCCTCCTGCAGAATCTGCTGCCTTAGCCACTCAGGTGTCCATTGATCTTGCTGAGAGTTGAGGGTGGGGATGAGGTTGTCCCAAGAGTTGTCCAACACCGAGATGATCTTGGTGCACTGCTGCAGCTGAGATACACTGCTGCCCGCTGCTGCCATCCTTGCATAGGTGTCCTTGATCTTGTCAAGGACCGGCTTCACATCGTCCCCTGGTCGCATGGAGATGGCAGCAAGTTCCTTCTCGAGCACGATCACCATCGGGAGAGTGTTGGGCTGAACCACATCGCGTAGTAGTTTCCACGCCCTTGGACCCGAATCATCCGCTTCCACAAGATCCTTGATGTGCTCGAACATCTCCTTGTTGACCGATTGAAGGATGAGGTCGAAAAGCACCGTGCTTTTCTCAATCCACCGTTCACGTGCTTCGCCTTCTTCCGGCATCTTCTCTTCCCCAACAGCAATCTTCAGTAGCTTGTAGCGTTTGAAGGCACTTCTCATCCGTCCGCTCCATTCCTCATAGTTGGAGCCATCCAAAGCTTCAACTTTTGATGGCGGCGGTTCACTTGTCTTCTCAGCTACAGCTCCTCTTCCATTAGCATCTCCTCCTCTCTCATTCATCTTCTCCTTGAGAAATGACGAATTTCAGCCCCCCTTTGCTGTCCACACTCAGCTCCCTCGATATTTTCACAAGTGTCGGCGTCCACGAAATTTCGGCAGAGTTTCCCTTAGCGGAAGACACATCCAACCTTTAGAACACCACTTAGGCACACCCACAGGCCATGGTGGGTCTAGAAGGGTCTTCACACTTCTGTAGACTCCTCTCAACGTCCTTAATACAGCTCTGATACCACTTGTTAGGATTAAGGACAGAGTCTAGGTGAACTTAGGAGCTAGAATTACTCAAAATATAAATCCGAAATTCTGGACAGAAAAGTCGTCTTTACAAGAAACGACGTCGACAAAACACTAGCCGTTGGAATGTCGCGAAACTTGGATATGTTGTAGCTCTTGATCTCAGCTACCGTTCCCAATTTGAATCACGTTGATTGATGAAGTATTCGCGACGCTATGGCTTTCGACGCACTAGGGGGTAAGCTGTAGGAGGAGAACTTAACTCAATCTCAAGAGTTCAATAATCTCACAAGGAATTTAGAGGAGCAAGAGAAAGGTTGGGATAGAAAGAGAGGGACGAGAGGGAAGGTCCCAAGAGAGTCCCCAACCAAGGAAACCCCATAAGCACAAAGATTCCCTCCCTATAGGAACCTCAACTTTGACCTTTGTCCCTTCCCAACCAATCCATCCAAGTTGGCCACCCTTGCCAACCTAGCTTGGTTGTTCCCAACCAATTTGCAGCTGTTACAGTAGAGTGACAAATTTCCCCAACCCCAAAGGTCCCAACTCCATATAGAGTCACCCCACAACTTCACTTTGTAACCGCCGCAATTGTAACGCAAGCTCATGAACTTTGAATCTTCATAGCTTTCGCGTTCTTGCTCCGATTGAAGCGATTCTTGTTGCGTCGGAAAGATCTTCTCAAGATCTATCATCAAAATACCTGCTCAAACAAAAATAACACAGAACACATTCCCAAACTCCAGAACACACCACACACAAATTCTTTCACATTCAAACCACACATGCAAGTTGAAAACATGGGATGGGAGGCAGACAGAATGTGATAGCATATGATGACATCACACAACATGCTGCTTGCTGGACCGGCTGCAGGTACTGTTGCTTGCTGGACCGGCTGCAGGTACTGTTGCTTGCTGGATTGTCCGCCTGCCGTGTCGTGTTTTCCTTTTCACTGGGAACAGCTGTTTGTGTATGCCTCTGTAAATAGGCTCTATAAGGGCCTTGGCATCTGTGTCACTGGGGGGGAAGGGGTGCAGGGGGCCAGGGGGGCAGGGATGTTTAGTCTACTCAAGAGCTAGCTCGATACAATGTCACATGGTACTTCTGAGTTGACTCTGTAAATAGGTTCTACAAGGGCCTTGGCATCTGTGTTACTGGGGGCGGGGGGCAGGGTGGCAGGGCGGCAGGGCGGCAGGGGGCCAGGGGAACTGCAGGTACTGTTGCTTGCTGTGTCGTCTTTCCCCTTTCCTTGGGAGCTGCTGTTTGTGTATGCCTCTGTAAATAGCTTCTATAAGGGCCTCGGCATCTGTGTCACTGGGGGGCAGTGGGGCAGGGGGGCATTCGTCCATTTTTCCAAATTAAATTGTCCTGGAAAAATGGACGAATGCCCCCCTGCCCCCCTGCCCCCCTGCACCTGCAGGTGCTGTTTGGAGGCAGGTAGTATGGGGCAGGACAGCACCACGTACACTCACTGCTCAAACCCCCATGCCAAATAGCCCTTTTCTCTCCTCCTTGCTTCTCCATTCTACTCAATGCACACAACAACAGGTCTTACTGGGCGGCAGGGTGGCAGAGGAAGTAGTGTGGGGACGGGACAGCAGCACGTACAGTCAGCGCCACGTGGCGGATGCTTCCTGGATGGCCTACAAGTTTGTCTCCATGTGAGTTCCTGGCGGTGCTCCTTTGTTTTTATGTGAGTTCTGGGCGGTACTCATTTGTCTCCATGTGAGTTCTGGGTGGGACTCCTTTGTCTCCATGTGAGTTCTGGGCAGGACTCCTTTGTCTCCCTGTGAGTTCTGGGCTGTACTCCTTTGTCTCCATGTGAGTTCTGGGCGGGACTCCTTTGTCTCCATGTGAGTTCTGGGCAGGACTCCTTTGTCTCCCTTGTGACACCCCTTCCTGCAGTTGGCACATGGCAGGCAAGGTTCTCCCCAGAGGAATTCCCCTGGGCTTGGAAGTGATGCAACACTGCCAGCGGCCCCTCCCTGGCGTTTGAGGGCAGTCTGTACGTCGACTACGGGTTCACAGGGGGGAAGATCAGTCCTTTAGCCCCTTGCCCTTGACCCTGTATCCCATAACCCCCCCACAGTTGGCACATGGCAGGCAAGGTTCTCCCGAGGGGCATCCCCCCTGCCTGGAAGCGGCGCAACACTGCCAGCGGCTCATCTCTGGCGTTCGGGACCTTCAACCCCTAACCCTTCAACCCCTATCCCTTCAACCCCTAACCCTTCAACCCCTAACCCTTCAACCCCTAACCCATAACCCCCATAACCCCCATCCCGCACCCCATAACACACCCCTTCCTACAGTTGGCACATGGCAGGCAAGGTTCTCCCTAGGGGCATCCCCCCGGCCTGGAAGCGGCGCAACACTGCAAGCGGCCCCTCCCTGGCGTTCGAGGGGAGCCTTTACTCTGACTACGGGTTCACGGGGGCGAAAATCAGCGATCATGCTGATGACGTGGCAGCTGACATGGCGCAGGCCCTGCTGGACGAAGCGTACGCTGCCACGTGGCAGCTGCTGGTGGACCACAAGGCGGCTCTGGTCAAGACGGTCAACGTGAGTCAATTGGGGGGGGGGGGAGGGGTTCTCGGGGAAGGGGCAGCTGCTGGCGGACCACAATGCTGCGCTGGTCAAGGCAGTCAATGTGAGTTTTGGGAGGAGGAGAGGGGGGGGAGGTAGAAATGGTGGTGGTGAAGAAAGGGGGGAAGAGAGGGGGGGGGGGGGAGAGAGAGATTATGGTGGTGAGAGGCCAATGTGGCAGCTGCTGGCGGACCACAAGGCAGTCAACATGTGTCGGGGGGGGGGTATAATTCACATGCATATATAGGTATATATATGTATATTATTATGTTTACATTATTGTTCTTATACTGTACAGGCATATATGTTTGGAACACTGGCGTTTGGGTTGGGTTCTCTGCTCCAATGATTGTTGTTCCCTTTCGTTTATCTCTACCCATTGTCACACTCTGATTCAATGATATTCTTTTGTCGAAGGGAGGGATCCAATGTGCTTCACTCTGATTCCTGTTTCCCCCTCAATTATTTTCACGCCCTCTACTGTCACGCTTCAGGTGCTAATGGCGAAGGGGGAGATCCAGGGATCGGATCTCGATATTATCCTGGACGCCTACCCTGCAGGAACACCTGTTCAGGTGGTTGAAACAGAGGCTGCACCTGAGGAACTACCTGAAGCGTTTGCAGGGCATTCAGGGGATACCGAGAGCGAGGGGGAGGAGGGAGGGGAGGAGGAGAGCAGGAGGAGGAGGAGGAGGAGGGAGGAGGGAGTGGAGGTGAGGAAAGTTGAAGGGAAATTTAGGAGTGTGGTGGGGGGTTGTTAGAGGAGAAGGGGAGGGGGGAGGGAGGGGTGAGGGATGGAGAGATTGCGAGGGGGGAGGATGGGGTGAGAGTGAGTGAGGGAGAGGGGAGGGAGTTGAGTGGGGAGGAGGAGAAAGAGGAGCAAAGAGAATCTGAGTCACTGGAGGTGGAGGGAGAGGGAGAGGGAGAGGGGGATGGGGAATGGGTGGAGGAAGAGGAGGATGGGGATGAGGATGAAAGGCTGATTTTGGAAGCTGTTGAATCTGCAGGTAAGAAACCAGCAGTGGGAGTAGCAGTAGCAGTAGCAGCAACGTCAGCACCAGCAGCAGTAGCACCAGCAGCAAGACCAGCACCAGCAGCAGGAGCAGCGCTGGTAGCACCAGCAGCAGCAGAAATTGCAGCAGCAGTACCACCACCAGCAGCATCACCAGCAGCAGGGGCGGTAGTAGCCACAGCAGCCGATGGCACGAAAGCAGCTGCCATAGGGGCAACAGCAGGCAGCTGTGAAAAACTCAATGGGGCTGCTGTGGGTGGAAAGGGGGAGGAGGCGAGTGGGGCGGAGAGAGGGAAGGAGAGAGGGGAGGAGAGAGGGGAGGAGAGAGGGGAGGAGAGAGGGGAGGAGAGAGGGGAGGAGAGAGGGGAGGAGAGAGGGGAGGCGAGAGGGGTGAAGAGAGGGGTGAAGAGTGGGGACAACTCAGAATTTACGGTGTACCACTACAACAGCGAGGGAGAGACTGCAAGTGGATCTGATTCTGATTCAGATTCGGAATCGGATTCTGATTCTGAGGGGGGAAGCAAACCCCACGGTTCGGCTGCACAGGGTGGTGTCAAGCCATGGGGCGGTACGGAAACAAATGGAACGCTGGGAAAGCGGAAATTGGAGGAGAATCTAGGAGCAAGTGAGAGTGCGGGTGAGACGGGGGAGAATGGGGATGATGCTATGACCTTGGTGCGGCCTAATGGTAACCAGTCCGGGAAGGAGTAGCACGTCATTGGCTTTTGAGGCGGCTCAAGAAGAGCGCTGGTGGGGCGGGGGAGAAAGGGTATGATGACTCTGGTTCGGCCTAGTGGGAACCAGTTCGGGGTGGAGTAGTCTGTCCTTGTGCTGTGTGGTACAGCCATACTAGTGAGAGTGCTGTTGGTAAGGGGATGCTCTGACCTTGGTGCGGCACAATGGTAACCAGATGGGTGGAGTGGTGTCTCCTAGGGCTAGGCAACCATACCGGTGTCTATTTCTTCGAAGGCTGCTAGAAGATGGGCTAATGGGATCTAGACCGGGGTGGAGTGGTCTATTCGTATTCGAGCGCAAGCATACTGTTCTTTCACATTGTTTCAAGTAGGAATTGGTAGCTGACTCCGGCCGTGTTGCCTCTTGTGTTGAGATTGTTGAGGTACATTGTACACACATGACCATCCATTATGCACATAAGGCTGTTCACGAATTGTGCAAATATTTCCTTGAGTACAGAAAGTGAAGTTGTGATTCTTGTTGTTACCGTAGTTGCGAAAGCACATCAGACAAGCACTCTGGTGTACAGTGCGTAGTTTGACTCCTCGTTGGTTTGGGCTGCTCACGCGCATCACCAGCATCGATATGTGTGGCTCTTGTGGAGGGCAGTCCCGAGATTATCGGATGCTTTCACCCGCGTGCTGATCCCTTCATTAATTTCCACTCGCAAGTGGACCACTACAGTTGTATGAATCTGATGCGAAATTATGACGTCAGGAGCTGGATTGAAGAGAAGGAACGATCGGGGAACGTGAAGAACGGGCCACTGTAGGCTTGGTTATCGGCAAATTGAGGCGCGAAAAACAGCACAAACTGCAAATCGTATTCTACTAGCGCAACCACGACTACAGCGGATATGCCATTAGGTCCAAGACATTGTACTCCATATAATACTCTAACGTCCGGAATTCGATACGAACCACCACGATGTACTCCGTCTGTACGGTATACATATACTGTTAAACTTCGCTAAAAAGGCGCAATAAACATAGTAACCAGTCACGAAAGTTGCATAATGCCACCGACCATCGACTCGCGCCACCCAAATCGGGTGCAATTTCAGCATGCGAGCTTCGCCAACCAACCCTAACATTCGGGGCGTTTTCCATTTTTTAGAACCAATCACGTAAATATTCAGGCTTCCCGCGTGACACGAACAGGTCCGTCTCGGATACGAAAACATGACCCTCGTTCCCTCAATCGCTATTAACAACTGCACATTTCGAAAATGATTTTCTCAAGGGTTTTTTTTTTTTTTTTTTTTTTTTTTTTTTTTTTTTTTTTTCGCTTTCGTAAAAACGCGTGGTTGGTTAACGAAACCGCTCAATTAAGTCGTCAAAATTTCCCTCCGTTTAGCCCTTTTTGTAATACCACGAAAAGGGTTTTCCAAATTATTTGTTTTGCGCGTTTTGAGCCTGCGCTGCTTGTGGGAAGGTCGAGAATGAGGTGTTACTTCTTTTGTCCGCGTTTTTCTGACCAGACGACAAATTTGCTGAGCATTTTTTAAGAGGCCACATGAGCCCTCACATGACACGCGGCGAAATCGCTGGTAACCTGGCCCAAGTGGCTAATACGCCAAGGCACCCATCGTGAACAAAACGAGTAAATCGGCCCACGCCACCCCACCTAGTCTATTATCCATTTTGCCAGTTACGTACCACTCCTATTCGTCGTAGTCCATATTTGCGAGTCGCGGATTTGGAGCATAGAGCATACCCGCTGTACTGCAAATATTTCTCAGGGACAAATTATTTCTTAGGTGCAAACCCCATGCACGCAAGAAAACATGGAACCAGCCAATCAGCGAGGGTACATGCATGCCCCATGCACGACATTTCTGGAAGTAATGGTGCCCGCGGAGAGGTAGACGACCCACATCAATCGCAGGAGGTTGAGGGTTGACGACCTGACCCTGGCGCTGCACACTAGCAAATCGGAACGCGCCGGGTGCGACGATTCTAGGTTCTCTCATTAGATTTTGTCTTTACCAGTCATAATTCGATTTTTCCGAACCCGCATCCCGGATTTCAAAGGTTCCGGGAACATTACGTTAAAATATATGCATCTCCTTTACAAAATTGGTATGACAAACACCTGGCGTGTTAAGCGGTATGGGGCTTGCAAAACGGGTTTCTCTACGAGCACAGATAATGGATTCCACGTAATTACCAGTGAAACATAAGACAAGCTGGGAGAATTGCAAACTGGCCACGTTGGCAATGTCAGCCACGCGGAAGCAGTAAGCCTCAAGGTGGGCGTATTTATTACTAGCAAGTTTCAATTTCGACAGCACACAGACTATCGGGGAGATAGTTCCCCTTCGTTGGATCGCCTTCACTATGGCCCAGAAAATTGCCAACTGCGAGTACTGTTGGAAGCACTCGACTCTGCTTCTGTGCGAACATGATACGACTTACGTTTTGTTCAGTTACAGTTGTGCTATTCTTGTTGCAACGCCTTAGATAATGTAGACATTTGAAACCTGGCTGTGCGATACATTGCAAAAACTAGGCGACGTGCCTACGTGGACATGGTCGGCACGAAAGACAGGCTCCCTGCCCCTCTACAGTGCGCATACGTCAAAGCTCCCACAACATCGGAAACGATATAAACAATTTTGCATGGTTGTATAGCAATATTAGTTACGCGCAATTTCCTACATCCTTCGAGCTTGCGTTGTATACTTAGTACCCCCAAACACATGTTCCACGCTAAAAGAGACAAGTTTTTTTAACACAGCTCGTGCCTGTTCCCCATAAATTTCAAACCACGGGAAAATGTGGCATTAGCTCGGAAAATGCATAGTACAAGTTGTATTTGATTAGTCAACAACAAGCACAACTATTTTACTACTACAAATTATTCCTTAGGTGCAACACTCATATACACCATACGACAAATAAGCAATAGTTACAGTCAGCATAACGTCACTAGTAGAAACATAAGGATTATGGTAAATACGCTCCTGAGTGGTCGACGATCAGGTGCGATCGCACTGCGTAAAAAATGTCGACCAATCCGTCCGTCTCAATCCAGCTATGCACAGGCGGACTCGGAAGCATCGCGTTAGCCAATAGTTGTGCACCATCTACGGTGACGTAATTCTCTTCATCGACGTGTCATATGGTTTCGTAATGGGGTGTGCTTTTTCTAGTTATTTTATGTTGTTCTTTGTTGTTTTCAACTTTGTATACGTCCGAGTCTCTCAATTGTTGCGTATTTGTTTTGTCGAGGTTATGAAGTCTCTCTGTTTATGAGACAATTGCCAAATTGGGTGTGGTGATACAATTGAGCCCACACACGTATTGCGACTCTTGAGCGACTAAACAAATTGAGCGGAATCGCAACATACGCCAAGGTTTTCGCCCTTGAACAATATGCATGGGCAGAGCTCCAACAACCTCGGAGCACTATAAGTGTCACTTTGCCCGCGCTATACGTGCCTATTCGCTTTAAAGCGCGGATCTCGAAACCCCCGAAAGTCTAAACCCAAGGTTTTGAGCCCCAGCCAAAATGGCCCGCAAGTCAAAACCTAAGTTTTTGACTTTCGAGGGTTTCGAGATCCGCGTTTTAAGTGCAAATTCTTATATTCTTGGAGTTTGCATTTGTAGAATACGATCTGTAACTCCTGGGAAAATTGTTGAACATTTCGGGCTGAATTTGGGGGTTCGTGCGGTTCAGCTCGGCACCTGGTTGTTGGGACTGAACGTAGGGGGACACGAGCAGGCGAGAATCGCAATTGGGACCCTAGGGGTTACAAGATCAGCGAGAATTGGAATTTGGACTGTTCGTTTGAGGACCATATCTTGGAAGAGGTGTATTAATCCAGGGATCCACTTTGTGGTTTTGGACGGATTGGTTGGCTCTGGTTTAGGGCCTTGGGATTGGCCTTTCACTGCCTGTGGAGTGGATTGCTCCCCCTTCCCACTTTTGTTGCCTGGGAAACTCGACGCCGACGTTCGCCATGATTTTCTGAACCCACAATGTTTTGATTCCAGCGCAGCAGCCTCTCCAACAAATTGGATGATGACCCAGCTGTCACGCTCACACTCTCGCCAACAGGTTGTGCGGCAAGCAGGCTGTGTTTGGGTGTGGTGTGGTGGCGAATTTGGGACCAATCGACCTAGCCAGCCAGCCACTCATTTTCGCAAGCTTCACACCCCACCCAACCCACCCCACCCCAACCCACCCCACCCCACCCCACCACGACCCCACCATTTTACTTTTGGCATTCCTTCCGCAGAACCTGGCCTTCAAAATCGGTAACACTGTACTCTACAGTTTTGCTAACACGGCAGAACGGGGCTGCTGCTGACAGCATGGCAGCTACCACACTCACTTCCGTCTTGAGCGTATGACCACATCCAACCCAATCTTCCAGTTGGTGTTTGCTTGTGGGAAGTGAATACCTTTTGATCCCAAGTGCTGTTTTGCTCACTGGAATTTTTCCCTAAAGAAAGTGTGTGGACGGCACAGGTGGTGCTTACATCAGTAATAGAGGCGCTGTGAAATTGGGAAGGACTTCGACCTCGAGAGTTGCAGCTCAGTACTCCAACGTATTTGAGAGTTTCGCCATACTGCCTGTTTATCCTTTTATTTCTCCCTCGTAAAGTATAACCACCACCACTACCCTTCTCACCAGCTTCGCAGCTTTGCGGCAGCGAACTACTTCCAGTAAAAGGCTTTCCCTTCTCAAGAGGACTCCATCTGCCAACGAGATGCATAATTAAGTGCAGACCGGTAGAGCAGCAACTTCTGTTATGTTACGAGTGGTGCAGTTTCACTAACGGATTCGGAATAGTATCCAATTAGGCCGCGGTTCGTTGCGTTCGGCTCAGGAGGATTATCGAACTTTCTGGGGATTATAAGCCTCGTACAGTTATTCCTCGCGAAATATTTGCGAACACAAGTATTGTAGGGGCGAGGGTCGCGAAGCCTCGCAGTATTATGTTCGACCAAATCCTATAACCTGCTAAAGCACCGCGCCCTGAGTGTGGTTCCGAAGTAGCGAAGTTGTCCTCCTCAAGCCACTTGTGCTGGTGGAATGCTCAGGTCAACATCAAAAGGAGTTTTTGTGACAAATAACCACGAATTCGCGAGTAGTGTTTAGAACTTCACGACCAACGTTTAGGATGGCGACTCCATGGCACACAGCTACTTACAGAAGTACCGGTCTAGAAGCTCTTGAAGCCTTTCGAAATACGGCGCCATCAGCAGCTGGAAACGAGCGAGCTTCAGAATGGAACGGTTGGCATCGCGAGAACATACAGGGACCGACGAAGCATTTACCAGGCGGCGATTCCACACGCGCCACAGAGGATCGGTTACTAACGAGTCGGCCGTCTCCAGTAACACTCCCGCTGCTCCCGCTAAACGAGGCAATGCGGCAAAAATTCGCGCAGCTGCACGAGGAGCG